CCCGGCCCCCCCCCCCGCCGCCCCTCGTCTCCATTGTCTTGTTGCCCTCTCCACCACCCCCTGTGGGAGGGTACGACTCATAGCCCCACCCCCTGTGGGAGGGTACGACTCATAGCCCCACCCCCTGTGGGAGGGTACGACTCATAGCCCCATTTTTCAGAAGGGAAAACACCCAGGGAAGGGAAGTGACCGGCCAGGTCCATAGTGCTGGTGAGGGGCAGACCCGGGGCTCAAAACTAGATCTGCCGCCTCAAACCCAGTTCTACTCACGGTAGGAGGGGGCCAAGGATGCCTCCTGGGCCAGATAATCACGGGCTTGACCTGGCTTTCTGGCCCGCTCCCCACCCGACCCCATCCTTTCTCCTCTCTGACTTGCCACTCACTCCTCATTTCCTGGGCCACCCACCCTGTGCACCACCTCCCCCGGCCCTTAACTTGCCTGCGACACCCTGATCTCCACCTGTCCCCACCATGAGGCTGCCCTCCCCCCGGCAGTCCCACCTTCCCCTGGGGAAACCAACTCACTGGCTCCTGTATGGAACATGCTGGGGCTTTCCGAACACCTCCCTGGCCCTCCCCATGCCCATCTCCATTTGCTTTGCTTCTACGTAGACCCACTAATTCAGTGCCAGGTGGTGTTCTGACTCTTTCCGTGTACAACTCCTTGACTTCTCAGCCGCTTAGTTTACAGAGGTGGAAATCCTATAAAGGCGGCCACCGCCCTCCCAGCCAGAGCCAGAGCTGGGCTTGGGACAGGCAGCTGGCTCCAGAGCCCTGCTCTGACCCCATGACAGCATATCACCACCCCTTGACCCTTAGGCCTCACTGTCTCCGAGGGACCTTTCCCTCCAGGTCTTGTCCAGTGCTCCCCACGGCTCTCACCACTCAGACCCGTAATCTGTAATCTCCCCCTGGCTCGGGAGTCTCCAAGGGCTAAGACTGCCCTCTCCACCCCTTCAAAGTCAGTGCCGGCCCTGGCCCTGGCCCGGAGCACAGCAGAAACTCAGGTGTGTTTGACCAATGAATGGATGATCTGATTTCTCAAGCTCCTTCTCAGCCCTTCAGTTTTGCTTCTCAGCTGGCCTCCCACAGCTCTGTATCTCCTTTCAGCACCTGGGCGAGCTGCCCCACGTATGCACAGCTTGCGCCCACCCCCAGCACAACTCCCCCACCCCCACGCCGCCCCAGGCCCTCAAAGAATCCATTCACATCCAGAAGCCCCTGATGGGGACAGTCATCCTCACCTTTGAAACATCCTGGATTTGGAGAAATCCCGAAACACCATCACTCTTTCAAAAAATCATTTTAAGAAATTAGAGTAGTTTTAGATTTGCGGACAATTTGCAAAGATAGTTCCGAATTTCCCATATACCCCTTGCCAATGTCTTCTGTCATTAGCATCTTGCAACGTCATGGTACACTAGTCACAGTTAATGGACCGATGTTGGTACATTCCTATTAATTAATTAAAACATTCTCTAGTTTTCCCCTACTGTCCTTTTTCTGCTCTAGGATCCTATCCAGAATCCCACATTCCCTTCAGTCATTGTGTCTCCTTAGCTTCCTCTGGTCTATGACAGATTCTCAGACATTCCTTATTGACCATGCTTTTTTTTTTTTTTAAAGACAAATCTATTCATTATTGACATCATTATTTATCAAGAAACACATAAGGACTTCCTCCTTTCATCCCTCCTTCCCATTTCCCCAAGGTCCCCCCCCAAATCTGCTGGCGCCCAGATTTATGGCGATGCCGAGGAACACATGCAGAGGAACACATGCAAACTGCATTTTTCTTTGTTCGTTTTCCCTATTTTGTGTAAACATTTCCACGTTGTGACATCACTCTTGAAAGCATCATTTTGAATGGCTGTGTAATTGGCTATTGAGTCACTGGGCCACAATTATCTTATGCGTTCCACGGACATTAAGCTTATTCCCCCCTCTTTTTTTAAAGAGTGCTTCTCTAAGGAAATATCACATATATGAAGCACGTAATTTCATGTCAGAGGCCGCCTTAGACCCACCCTCTCCTTTGGCCACGAGGTACCTTTCTTTCGCTATTGGCTCATTCTCCCCATGCGACGGAGGGGACCCAAGGCTTAGGGAGTTCTGCTCCAGGTCCCCTGGAGGGAGGAGCCAGGAACAGGCTAGATTCCTTCCCTTCCCGCCCTCCCTCATCTCTTTTGTGCTTCTCTTTTGGAATGCATATCTTTCTTTGCACCCACAACATCCTGCATAGAGGCTGCATTACAGAACGCAGGAATGAAGAACTCCGGAGTGGGTGAGTGGGGTGGGGGCATCCATCACTGCCCAGACAAAACCACTGTGGCATGTAGGGGTGCATCTCCTACCTTTTGCCTAACAGATTTTTTTTTTTTATATCATTTCCTTAAGAAACAAAATCGTGCTGGGTCTGTCTGCAGCATGTGGATATTATCTGGGGTTCAGAGCAAAACCCACTTTTTCTGCAGCTTTGGGAAGCGTGGGTGACTGGCTGTGTTTCTTCAACCTCTGGGGGGAAAGACCCATACCCCTCCTCAGTTTCCCTCTTCGGCCAAGCCTATCTGGAAGCCACCTCCTGTCACATGGCCACTTCACCCCTCCGGCTTTTCCATTGTGCCGGCTGGAACCTATTGAAGTCTGGACCCACGTGGGCCAGTCCCAGAATAGGGTCTGTCCCATTCAAAGACTCACAGATCGACAGCCAAAAGCTAATTAAAATGGAATTCCATGCCTTACTTGTGCCCCTCGGAGATGTCAAAGGAGACCCAATTCAGAGCCCTGGTAACCCTTCTCAGAAGCATCTCTCCCTAGCTCTCTGAAGCCCCGCCCTCCACCCCCCCCATCCCTCATCTCCGCTGCCAGCCCTGCGGCTCTTTCCGACCCTTTATCTTTAGATTGACCTTACCTTTCCCTCCTATGCGGCATCACCAAAATCCAGGGCCAGAGGGGCAGAGAGAGAGAGAGAGAGAGAGAGAGAGACTCTCAAAGGCCGTGGGGTGCAGGGGCCAGGGTGGGGTGCGGGGATCAGGCTGCAGTCACAGTTACAGCAGTGGGGCTGGTGGTGGAAGGAAAGGCGCTGTGACATTTGATCACATTCCCAAGACAGTTCATGCCCTGACTCAGAAGCTCAGCCTCTCCTGAGCCACCGGCCCTCGGGCTCTTGAAAAGCAGACACTGAGCGGACACCTGGCAGACCATCATACAAGATTTCTGCCCTGGGGTTGGGCTCCCTGAGCCCTGGGGGCAACACGGTAGGTGCCCCACCAATGGCCACCATTGTTCGCGTCCCCCTCTGCCCAGGCCTGAATGCACAGGTGCCTGGCTGCCAGGGGAGAGCGGGTGTCAGAGGGACATGCTCAGGGCAGGCTCCCAGGGTGGCACTCATGACCTCCTGTGTGTTGGCAGACGGGCACCACCCGGCAAGTGTCGGATCCAGCCTGCCCAGGTGAAGGTGAGGAGCCGCCTCATCCAGTTTGTGCCCAAAGAAAGTAAGTGCCTGCCAACAAGGACGCAACGGGGGAGGGGAGCTCCTGTGACCCGGGGCCCAGCTGCTCCTCCCGCAGATATGGGTCCTTCTGGCTGACCCTGGATGCCCTTCCTGGGCCCCGATGCCTAGCACTGGGAATGGCACCCGTTAGATGTTCAGTTAACGTGGGTGGAGCTCCTTGAACCCAGGCGGGTAAGTGGCCCCAAGGGGCTGCAGACCTCAGAGGGGGTCAGGGGAAGGGGAGGGATGGCTGGTGCTAAGCCAGGTACACTCAGAGCCCTCAGGACAGACAGATAGTGGGTATATCTGTGTGGGAACAAGACTGGAAGGAGTCATTCTCGATGCAGGTGCCTCAGGGGAGGGGGGCATCTGCCTGGGGCTGCCATAAGCTGGATCTGTTTGACATGTTTGGTGGGGAGGGAGGTGGGCACAAACCCTCATGACCTGAGGGCCAAGCAAGGCCACAAATGATGACCCCTGGCATTTGGGGCCAACTGAAAGGGCAGGCGTGACAAGGGGTCTGTGAGGGGGTCTGTTCCCCTGGGCCCTGTGGGAGCATAGAGACAGTGCTGTCAGACCATCCAGTTCTTAAGAGGTGGGAAATGGATCCATCCATCCATCCGTCTGTCCATTCACTTACCACACACGCGTGCTTCCATGGGGACATACCACTGAGCAAGACAGACATGGTCCCCGCCTCCTTGGGTTGTTACAGTCTCTCCATTTGCAAATTTTGGCACCTTTGGCTCAAAATCTTAATCACCCTGCAGGCCAGAGGAAATCCTTCAGTGGGCCCAGTGGGCCCAACAGATCGAGGACCCATTGGTGGACTGAGGGGTGGGGGAACAGGAAGAGGGGGAGGCTGGGCACCTGGCAGCTGGGGGCGGGCAGCCCTGAGGAAGGGGAGGCCCCAGCAGAGGACAGTTGGGGGAAGGAATGAGCTCAGCGTTTGGGGAAGTTAATTCTAGCTGCAGTTGGTTTCAGGCCTGGGCCAGTTTTCCATTCATTCAGCAGTTTCTGGCACTTTCAATTGTCACCCCTTCCATGCTGGATGCTGGGGCCAGAGGAGGAGTCAGAGCAGGCCCTGTCCTGGCTGGGGCAGACCGAGAAGTCACTTATTGTCCCGGGACTGTTACAGAAGTGTGTGGCAGCAGCCATGGGGCCCCAGAGCAGTGCAGGACTGGGGTGGGGGTGGGAGGTTCCCAGAGGCTGAGGGTTGAGACTGGAATGAAGAGGAAGGGTGCACTGTGGGGAGGGCAGTCTGGGCAGCTGGACCAGCAAGAGCCAAAGCAGAAGGCTCCCCAGCAGTCTGGGGAGCTGGAAGTCCTACCCTGCGGGTGGAGTGGGGGCCAGGGTGCAGGGAGGGGGAGCGTCTGGCCCATGTCCCTGTGCTCAGGGAGGGGGAGCGTCTGGCCATGTCCCCCTGACCTGCTCCTGGCCTTGAATCAAGGCCCTTCATCAGCCTTCATCTCAGCTGAGGTGGGGGGCTAGAGGGCTTCGGACTGGTGACCCTGGGTTCCCTCCCCACGGTAAGGGAGTAGTCTGGGAGTTCGCCTCTCCGGACAGAGTGTCTCATGCAGGGTGAGGTTTATCTCTGGCTGACCAGGGCGGAGTGTGAGTGTTGGGGTGCTGCAGGGACAAAGGGAGTTATCCACCTCAGCTACCCATGCCTGTTGTATCCAGGCCTTGTGGTGCAGTAGAAGGTCGGGGTACCCTGCCCCCTCTCTCTGGTCAGGGCGGGCCCCAGCCCCCAGCCAGCAGCCTTGGGAGCGTGAAGGGGAGACTTCACCCTGCCCTGACCGGCCCTGGGCAGGCCAATTCCCATCCTGCCTGTCTGCCTTAGATCCTCAGCAGGTTTTCCCCATCAGTGGGCCTCAGCTTCCTCACCCCTGAACCAAAGACTGGAACCAGAAAGGGTCACTTGCTCTGAGAAGCCCTCCCAGACACTTCCCTTCCACTGGGCTCATGAGTTAACAGTGGGAGGGGCTGCCCTCCCCCATCCCTGCTCCCAGACTAGGGACTCCCAGGAGGGCAAGACTAGGGGCAGGGGGAGACCCCAGAAGCAGACTGGCACAAAGCAGCTGCCAACGAGTGTTTGCAGAATGACTGAAGAAGCACCCTGCACCAGCTCCAGGCTGGTATCCCCAAGAGGTACCCCAACCTCAGGGTCGGACTGGAGGGCAGAATGAGAACATCTTTCCCTAGGGGTCTGCATTCCGTGGTGGAGAGCTGGGGTGGGCTGGGCGGCTGGGGTCCCTCTGACCGCACGCTCTTCCTCCGCGCAGAGTTCATCCGGAGGGCAGAGAGCACCCCACCGCCCACAGCGCGTGTACCCACCCAGGCGCCCCGCCGCAGCCGCCCCACAGTTGCTCTGCCCGCACCCACCCCGCGGCCCGCAAGGCCCACCCGGCGACCCGGGGGCCGGAGGGGTGGCGGGCGGCGGCGGGGTCGACCAGGCACTGCGGACTCCACGCCCTCGAACGGCGCCGTGCGCCTGGTGCGGCCCGCGGGCCTGAGTGCGGGCCGCGGGCGTGTGGAGGTGTTCGCGGGTGGACGCTGGGGCACCGTGTGTGACGACGCCTGGGACACCAAGGCTGCCGCCGTCGTGTGCCGCCAGCTGGGCTTTGCGCACGCCGTGCGGGCCACCAAGCGCGCCCAGTTTGGCGAGGGCCGCGCGCTGCCCATCCTGCTGGATGACGTGCGCTGCGCGGGCAGCGAGCGCAACCTGCTGGAGTGCACGCACGCGGGCGTGGGCACGCACAACTGCGGGCACGAGGAGGACGCGGGCGTCGTGTGCAGCCACGAGGACCCTGACCTGTAGGCGAGCACCATCGGGCCGGCAGCAGCCCGGCAGGGCCCCTCCGCCCTGAGCGCGCCTGGTGCGCGCACAAGCCTGCGGGCAGAGGGGGCCCATCTGTAATGCTGTCCTGTGGGCGCGTGTGAGGTGTGTGTAGTGCTCCCGGGCTCTGTGTCCCTGCCCACGTGCCTTCCGCAGACCAGAAGCCACAGTGTGTTGGGGTCTGTGTAGTCACCGGCCCCAGGTGTTCTTTTCTTACCTCCAAACATCTCCGGCACATGCAGGAACACAGTCTGGCCATGGACCCTCAGCACTGAGGGCTACCACCCTTCAAGGGCAGACTTGGTCCTTGGCTGCATTAACAGAGGCATAGCTGGCAGATTGAGGGAGGGGACCAGGCTTGTCCTGCCCAGGGTTTGAGTGGAAGGCCCTGGACCATCTGGAGCGTGGCCTACAGAAGGTGACTCAGAGAGCATGGGCAGGTGGCCCGGCAGGTAGAGGTACTGAAAACAGGAAGGCGTCCAGTGGGGCAAAGGGAAGCTGTTAGACCGATGAGCCCAGAGTGAACTGTGGGCCATGGCCGTCTGAGCGAGGATCAGGCTGCCTGGGGGAAGTGAGCATCTGGAGAGGGCTGGCTGGGGGAGGGGGGTTCTGGATGACCTCTGGCAGAAGCCTCTTGGTCATCTTGGACTTCATTATCATCGTGGGTCCATGTGGATGCTCTGGGGACAGTGCTGGGGCCCTGGGCCCTGAGACTTGACTCTCCAGGGCTCACTGGGAGAGAAGCCACCCACCTGGCCACTCCAAGCACCATGGCCCCCCAGTGAATGGGGGGGGCATCAGGTTTCTCTGCATTAAAGGCTGTGTTAGGGCCACTGGAACCACCTTGGTCCTCTCCATCCCCATGCTGCTCAGTGAAATCCCAGGGGACCCTCTGATTCCTCCAGCATCTCCCCCCCAGGGGTCCGGAAAGACTACTGATGCTCTGTCACCTGAAGCTGTGCCAACAACGTGACTGTTTACAACCCCCTTCCTGCCTCTTCTCTCTGACCTGTACTGCCGGGGGGCTGGAGGTGGAGGTCAGGGGGGTGGCTAGCCCTGAAGCCTCCCTCCTGCTCACAGGTGGAAGTTCCTTTGCCCACTAAGGGCCTCCACACTGGCCCCGTGTGTCAAGTACAGTTGGGCATGGTCTCTCAGAGAGAGGAGAAGCAGATGGTCACTGGGCAGTGGGAACAGGGTATAGCCCATGTCAGGGTCTGTCAGGGCTGTGGGGGGCGTCATCCCAGCCCAACCTGTCCATTATTCTGAGAGCTGAGCCGGCACCTGGGGTGGTGCGCCCAGCAGAGGCAATGGTGCAGGCAAGGCCGGGGGGGGGGGGGGGCGTCTCCTGGCTGCTCGCTGAAGCTGAGCGTGGAGTACGGGACTGCCGAAGAAAGCTCAGGGTGACCTCTCGGATTCCTCATACTTCTGCCTTGAGTGGGGTCGGCAAGGGCCCTGAGCCCTGGCCCCTTGCCTTCCCCATTGAGCCCCGCCTGGAAACCATAGCCCTGCCATTGAGCACGGCCTGTCTTCGGGGCACCGTTGTAAGCACAGTATAGCACTCGTGAAATCATTTGAGCCTTTGAACAGCCCTCTTCTTTTACAGATGGGGCAACAGGTGCACAGCCAGGGAGGAGAGAAGCCAAATGAGAACCCACGCAGCCTGGCTCTCGCACTTGCTGGCATCCTCACCGTTCATTGCCCTGCCTGACCCTAGGGCTGCTAGGCCAGCAGAAAACGGGGCTTGGCCCAGGGAATCCCCCGGGGCTCCTGCCCACTGTGGGCTGGGAAGCAGCTGATGGAGACCCCTGCCTCCTCCCACTGCCCAGCAGTAGCTGACAGGCATCTTCCCTAGATACAGGGAAATTCTGAACAGTGTTAGGAGCTGGGAGGGTTGAACTCCTCACTGCTCCCGTGGAGAAAGGAGCCCGGGAAGCTGAGTGTCCTGAGCCTGTCCCAGATGGGGCTGAGCCGAGACTAGAGCCCAGGGAAGGGGGGTGGCCCTCCAGAGCAGGGTAGCACCATGGCCCTACCCAGTGGGGTAACCAAAGCTGTTGGTCCCCCTGGGCCTAGAATGGGGAGGTGGGGGGGGTCATACAGCCTCTTCCTGGGGCTCCTCCATGCTCTTCCGTGCCCTTTCTCGCCCTGTCGAGCCCCCTCTTCATTTCAGAGCCTGATGGCAGTGGGGACAACGATGCCACCAGGTGTGGCCTGGGAAGTGGGACAGAAGCGATGGGGGGCATCTCCCACTGCTGCTCAGCATGATAGCCTGGAGCCACCATCTGGGGCTCCTGATACCTTCCCCCAAGTGCTGGGGTGGTCCAGCTCTCCGCTGGGCCCGGAGTGTCACTATTGTTTGGGGGGCAACTGGGAGCTGTCTCAGGCCCCTGCACTCCTCTTGGTGGGGTGCTCCCCGCTCCGGTCCCCCACCTCCTGACCCCTCAGGCTCCAAACAGGGCTTAGGCTTCAGGCTGACTCCTGACAAGGAGGTTGACACAGACTCACTGCCCCTTACATAGTAACAAGGGTGGACACCTGACATCTGCTGAGCACTTACTATGTGCTAGGCACTGTTCTAAAAGTTTTACTCAGTTTTCATTCACTTAATCCTCATATTAAGCCATATGAGGCAGGTGTTCTGCTCACCCTTCATCGTACAGATGTGGAAACTGAGGCCCAGGGAAGCTTCGTTACTTACCCGTTGTCAAATAGTCAATATTTGAAAGCCGGCAGTAGGGCCCCTGGAGCCCCAGCTTTGGATTGTCACCCTGCTGCCTGAAGAGCATTGAATTCAGTGCCCCCCCCTTCCCATCGGCCCCTGTCATTGTGCACATGGGGCACAAGCCCTAAGAGTGGCAGAGCTGGCTTCAGACTCCCTGTCCAGTGCTCCTTTCACTGCACTGCCTACAACTGGCTACTGAGGGAGCATTCACAAGTGATTCTGTCCCCAGGGACTTTGATCCTGCCATGGAGTCCTCCAGGGTCTCTGGGGATAGGGGCTGACCCTGGCCAAGGCTCCCTCTGTTCCCTGTCAGCCTCTGCCATCACCCCCTGTAATCGGGCTTCCAGTCAGCAGGTAGAGTGATCTCTCAGAACCTGGCCCAGAGAGGGCCTGCCTCCACCCGGCATCACACGCTTAGTTCTTGTGCCCTTGGAGCCCGATGCTGCAGGGATGTCCCAGGTGCGGCTGGCACCCAGGACTGCATCCATGGTGTCAGCCTCGGGGAACAACACTCCGGGTCCCTGACAGGGCCTTGTTTGTTCCTTGTGTGCCTGCATCCCCCTAACAAGCCTGAGCCAGGCCAGGGCCTTGGTCCCATGTTCAGAGGGGAGGCAGCTTTGCACCACTCCAGGGAGCAGCCCCTTCAGAGCAGGCAGCTTTTGGAGCCTGCAACCTCCCTCAGTGATTCCTGCTGGGAAACTGCTGCTGCTGCTTCTTTTTAAGATTTTATTTATTTATTTGACAGAGAGAGAGAGAGGGAGAGCATGCGCACGCACACAAGCAGGGGGAACACCAGAGAGAGAAGGAGAAGCAGACTCCCTGCTGAGCAGGGAGCCCAATGCAGTACTCCATCCCAGGACCCTGGGATCATGACCTGAGCCGAAGGCAGACGCTTAACCGACTGAGCTACCCAGGTGCCCCTGGGGAACCACTTCTTATATCATGCTCTCAAACTTGAGCAGAAACACTTGCAGGGCTAATTAAAACACAAGGGGCTGGGGGCCTATCAGAGTTTTTGTCTCAGTAAATCTCAGTGGGGCCGAGAATTTGCCTTGTGACACCGGATAATGCTGATGCTGTTGGCCTAGGTGCCACACTTTGAGAACCACTGTCTATACTAGTGCTGTCCGATAATATGAGCCACATAGGTCATTTAAAATTTTCTAGTAGCCGTGTTAAACAAGTAAAAGGAAATAGGTGAAATTAATTTTGATAATATATTTTCTTGAACCCAGCATATTCAAAAATTACCATTTTAACAGTTAATCCATATAAAAATATTAAGGAGATTTTTATTTTTTATTTTTTAAAAAAGATTTTATGTATTTATTTGACAGAGAGAGAGACAGTGAGAGAGGGAACACAAGCAGGGGGAGTGGGAGAGGGAGAAGCAGACTTCCTGCCGAGCAGGGAGCCCGATGCGGGGCTCGATCCCAGGACTCTGGGATCATGACCCGAGCCGAAGGCAGACGCTTAACGACTGAGCCACCCAGGTGCCCCTATTAATGAAATTTTTTAAAACATTTTTTTATATCCAATCAGTGTAACCCAGTGTCTATTTTACACACACAGAACCTCTCAATTTGGACCGGCCATGTTTCAAGCGCTGGACTGGCATATCTGGCCAGTGGCTACCATATTGGATAGCGGTGTCTAGACCTTTCCAGGAAAGGGGGGGCGGGCAGCTTGTTGGCCACGTGCTTCCCGGCAGTGCCCTCTGCTGGCAGCTTGTAGTGCTGCCTGCCCAGGCAAGGGGCCTGGAGACCCACCTGAGCATTTGGGTGCCCCCTCTCTCATCACTCCCCATCTGATCACAGGAGAGCTGGGAGAATCAGATGAAGTGGCAGTGGGCCAGCAGTAGACTTGGTACATGGGGAGGGGACACTGGTCAGGGACAGGGGTGCTCTGTTGACAGAAATGCCAGTTGAGCCCTGGTCGCATTGAGCCAGAGGTTACTGGTGTTGAGTAATGCACCAGAGAATATTAATGCCCATTCCTCTCCTTAGCTCTCGTTGGACAGGCTTAGACTCACAAACGTACCCTGAGGCTCCCCCATGCCTGCCTCATGTGAGACCCCAGACTGTGCCCAGAGCAGTTTAGGATCTATCTTCAAAAAATAGTGGTTGAGGGGTCCTCCTTCCAAATTGTCCCCAGCCCCTGGAACTTTCACAGCCCAGAAGGGGCTGTCTAACCTGCCTACCACCATCAGCACCCCCAAGCCGGACCAGCCAGCCGCTGCTCCTCACCGCCACATGGGGGCGCCCCGACAAGCCAACGTCTCCCAGCCCCAGCGGTAGATGCATCCAGCTCCCCGCGCCGGGATGGACACCCAGGCTGCGGTGGTAGGGGACAGAAATCCTGTCTCTTCTGGGTCCAGTTCTTTTTTTTTCTTTTAAAGATTTGATTTATTTATTCATGAGAGACAGACAGAGAGAGAGAGAGAGAGAGAGAGGCAGGGGGAGAAGCAGGCTCCCAAGGAGCAGGGAGCCCGATGCGGGACCCGATCCCAGGACCCTGGGATCATGACCTGAGCCGAAGGCAGACGCTTAACCATCTGAGCCACCCAGGCGCCCTGGGTCCAGTTCTTAAAGCGTGGCCTTCTCCGTCACCCTGAAGCCCACACACCCCTCACAGTCATGTCCCTCCTGGGGACTGTCCCTGGCTGCACCTGGGAAATAGGTACACAGACCTCAGTTTCCCAACACCCTAAACCTCTCCGGGGCTGCCCCACGAATGGGGCAGGGGCATGTCCCCTTCTCAGGAACCCGGCAGCATCTATCTTTGGGCGCCCCCCCCAGCCCGTTGGAATTGAGGGGGACTAGGAACATGCACACCCGGCCCTTCCCATCCACTGCTCCCACTCTGGGTGCTCCCACTCTGGGCGCCAAGTGTTGGGCTGAGAACTAAAAGTGCAGAGCTGGGCATCCTCTGTCACACCCGAACGGGTGAGGAGAAGGGGGTTACATAAACGGGAGGGAAGTCTCAGTTATTACTTCACAAATACCCTTTGGCCACCGCGGGCACGTTTGTCGCCTTCCGTCGAGGGCGACCTTGCGCACCCAGACTTGCACGCCCTCTAACTGCGGCTCCTTTTGACCTGGGTCAACGCCTCCGACCCGACCTTTCCTGCGCCTGGGAGGCTCCGGAGGCGTCGAGACGCGAGGAGAGACGATTCCGGCCCAGCTGTGCGCACTTCTTTCGCAGACACAGCCTCCCTGTGTCCTCGGGGTCCTCGCTACCCGGCCCGTGGGCCCCGCGGGAAGACAGTCGGCGCTCGGCGGGGACCGGCCAGGCAGGGGGAACCAGCTTTGGGGGTTGGGGGTTCCAGAGAGAGGCATGGGAACAGTCGGAGTAAGACGGGCTTTTGGAGGCTGGGATGGGGTTCCCAGGAAGATTTGAGAGAGAAGGGAAGGGGCCTAGGTCCGCGCGCGGAGAACGGCGTTATTTGAAGGCGCGCAAGATAGCGGAACCAGCCAGCAGGACTTAACGCTGTCGCCGGGGCAGGAAGCGCGGAGGAATCGGGGTTGCCAAGGACAACGCGTTCTGGGCGGAGCTGCTGTTGGGATACAGCTTGAGGGGCTGAGGGCCGGGCCTGGGGAGGCGGGGAGGGGGCGGAGCATGGGGGGGGGTTCCGAGCCAGAGGCGGCGTTGTGACTGGCGGAAATCCCATGCTCTGGGCGGGGCCTGAGCGTGAGCGGTGTTGAAGTTGGGGCGGGGCTTGGGGCGGGGCGGGGACGGGCCCCGAGAGCAGGAACCGGAGGCGGAGACGTGGTTGGCGGGGACGGAGCGCCCGGGGAGGGGTCGAACCGGCGGGGGCGGAGCCGGGCGGGAGTGGGCGGTGCTGGGTCGCGCCGGGCCTGGGGCCGAGGCGGCGCGCGGCGCTGACAGCTGAGTCGGCTCGCGGCCTCCCGCCCCCTCGGTGCCCGGCCCCGACCCTGGCCTGGCCTGCCCGGGAGCCATGAGCCCCGGGCTGCTGCTGCTGCTCGGCAGCGCCGTCCTGGTCGCCTTCGGCCTCTGCTGCACCTTCGTGCACCGCGCTCGCAGCCGCTACGAGCACATCCCCGGGCCGCCGCGGCCCAGGTGAGCGGGGGGTGGGGGCGGGGGCCTGGATGGGGCGCTCGAATGGGGGGCCGGGGGACCGCGTCCAAGCCGGCGTCGGGGCCGGGGGTCCAGCCTCGCCATTGCGCGTGGCCGCTTGGAGACGGCAGCCTGGAGAGGGGCGCTAACTATTCTTAGTAACAAATTACTCACAGCCGCAGCAGCTGCTCGGCGCCCACCGCGCTCTGCTGGGCCCCACAAACGTGATGGCAGCGACAACCCTGTTAGGTAGGCGCTATTGTTACCCCATCGTTCAGACGAGGAGACTGAGGCGCGCAGAGGCAAAGTCACCTGCCCAAGGTCACACAGTTGGTAAGCCTAGATTTAAGCCCGGGTCAGCCTTGGCTCTAAAGTGGGCACTCTGAACTTTGAGACTTGGAACGGGGTCACTCAAACTGGATTGCAATACACTCTACTTTGGTCACATTCCCCTTTGTATTTCTGTCCTGGTATATCCTTTTTGTCTTCTCCTTAGTACTTCCATTCCATCCTTGCCCCCCCCCCCCCCCCCACCTTCCCCCCCCCCCCACCAGAAGCTTACCTTTCTGAAGCTAAATCAAATGTGTCATTTCTCTGCTCCAAAAGCTCTCCGTCACTTTAGAAGGAAATCTAATTCTAGATTAAGTCCACTCTGTGGCCAGCAAGGCCCCTGCTGAGCTCTCAAAACCCACTCTGTACTGTTCTCATCCCCCCCTTGCTTGCTCACTGCTGCCCCCAGTCTTTCTGCAACCCCCCTTCCTGCAGCTCCAGGGTCTTGCTGTTCCCCATCTACCCTGTGTAAAGCCCACCTAGTCCCAGACTCCTAAGGGGCCATCACCCCCGAAGTTACCTTCTGTTCACTTGTTGACTGTCTGTTCACCTGTTGACTGTGTCTGTCTCCCCCCTTTAGAATGTGAGCCCCGGGAGGGCAGGGATGCTCTGTGTTCGCTCGTGTATCCCCAGCACCTGGCACATTGCAGATGCTCAATAAATATTTGTTGAATGAATGAATAAACAATGGTATTAGACACACTTTTTAAAACCTCAGGACATGAACATTCTGGAAGGTGCCCACCTCCAGCCCAAGCCAGATGACCTGGCATTGGAAGCCTGAATCCCTGTTTGGTGGATTTGGGAAAGATCTCTGTGGCTGGTGACACGGGGAGGCGATTGTTCTCCCTGCTGGCTCCCTGTCTTCCCAGGTGCCCTCGCCCACCTTGGGGTCTTCCTTTTCCCGTGCTTAGCCAGCCCTGTCTTCCACGCCACCTAGGTGGTTCTTCCCCTCACCTTCTAGGCTTGGATTCAATGCTAACTCCTCAGGGAGGTCCCACCTGCTTCCATGCCCGAATATATCATGTTCATTTTGTAAACTCTATGTCATTGTAAGAGTTGGGTAATTATTTGTGCAACCTCTTGTTAAATGTCTGTCTTTCCCATAGGCCTGTGTCTGTCTTGTTCACTGCTGCGTCCCTGACATCTGGCACATGCAGCTGGTACATGCAGAGTAGACACTCGATAAACAGTGATTCAAAGTGGATGGTGGAAATCGCCTACCAGCTCTGTTAGGTACACTGTCACCCTTCCAACTTTTCAAATCAGCCATCAACAGCTTGGGGTTGAATGAGCTTTGTGCTCATTCTGCTGGGTCTCATCATGACTTGGTCTAAACCCACGTGCTTCAAGCACTGCAGACCTGGTCTAGTCTCTTTATCTTGAGAAGGCAGACCTTAAATCAAGCCCCTTTCTGCCCCCTGCCCATCTCTCTCTTTTTTTAAGTTGCATTTTAAAAATAAAATTATGCCATAAAATTTACCCTTTTAAAGTGTACAATCAGTGCTTTTTAGTATAGTGACAGAGTTGTTCAATCTTAACTGCTGGTTCCAGAACATTTCCATCACTCCAAATACCCAGTGCCCATTAGTTGTCACTCCTCATCTCCCCTTACCCCTCACCACCCCCAGCCCTAGGCAACCACTAATCTGTTTTCTGTCCCTAGATTTGTCTGTTTTGCACGTTACATATAAATGGAATCATACAACATGTGGCCTTTTGTGGCTGGCTTCTTTCACTGAGCATCATGTTTTCCAGGTTCATCATGTAGTAGTATGTGTCTGTATTTCTTTCCTTTTATGCCTGAATTCTCCCCCAAATCCTACACTGCAGAATCTACGTGTGACCTACAGGTGCATGTGGGTGGGTGGGGGAGTGGGAGGAGGTTAATTATATAATACTTAATTATATAATTAAATATAATTATAGTTGGGCTCTTTATTCTAAGGAGGTGAACTGAACGATGCATATGCAGAAAGATTTGGGATTAACAGTTGTTTTGGTGGTCACATATAAAACTGCACTAAATGAAAGTTCTGGAACCTCTTCTAGCACGGATCAGATGCTTTGGTATTCAAAGCCTGGATCCTCAAACCATGATCGGCAACACCATGGTTGGCAAAGAAGTGTACATATCGAATCTCTAGTAGTAACATTTGCCCCTTGGTGCTTCCAGGCTTTGCCAACTTTCAGGCAAGGATCCCTCTGCCTTACAAAGGGCAGCTGCTGTGCTCCCCCGGCCCCCACCCATCTTCCCCCTTATTCATCAGGAGTCACCAGGATGCCCTCTCCTCCAGGGTGTCTTCCTGGAGTTCCCAGGATG